CATATTACCCTCCCCAGACCCCACTTGTGGGATTATACTGGGTCGTTGTTGTTGTTGTTTGAATTGTTAAAATTTAGCTGACAACAACAACAATAACATAACCATCTTATTCCATACCGTGGGGTCTGGAATTGTTAAAATTTCCCTGAAAATCTGAAAACTGAAAATAGTAAAAGGAAATCTTATTTAAACGTGCCTTTTTCGCAGTTTTTTCTTTTTTTTAATCTATTTTTGAAGTCTAATGCAACTCGAGGTATAATTTTTTGTGCTTGGTGTAGTTTTTTTGTGCAGCGATTTTTGGAATTTTGATGGAATTTTTTTGGTGAAATCTTATTGCTTGTATATTTTCGGTCAAATTTAACAATCATGGTAAATATCTAATGGAGATCAAGTTGATCACTGTGAATCAAGTTGTATGTCTTATAAACTAGATACTAGTACTAGTAGATATCGAATGTTTTTTTCGTTAAAAAAGAAATTGGAATGGATTAAACACAAAATAAAAATCTAAGTAGTTCATCAATTAACATTGAGAATCCCCGAAATTATTTTCTTCTTTATGAAAATGTCGATGGACCCGCTATTGGTGTTGATCCCGTTCCATACGCACGCAAGATTAGACGCGAAATCGATGTTGCACCATATTAGTTATTAAGAAATTATTTCAACTCGTCTCACATCCATCCGCACTACCTAGCCTTAAACCCACATTGTCCCGCATTTACTTAAACCCGCACCACCACCACCCATCGCCCCATATGAAGCTTGTGCATTAAAGTTATGATATTGCCAGCATTGGGTTAAACATGCATTACTTACGTGGGAATTATCTTTTTCTAATCTCTCCAATCAAAATTTGATTATCTTATGCAGCATTTTATCAAAAGGTTAATTCTCCTAGTCCTTTTAACAAAACAGCCCCTTAGTCATAAGTCATAAGGTCTAAAAAATATGTTTTGAAACTGTTATGCTGAATTAATCTGCTTTTGAGTGTTTATCATTAAAATATATTTTGGATAAATGGCAGTAACCTAAATCTAATTGGACCAAATGATGTGGTATATGCGAAAATATGAATAACATGAGTAAAATCCAACATAAATAACTCACAATATTATAATCCATGTATTATGATGTCTATAGAATTTGATGATAAGAAACCAAATAGGCCTTTAGAATATTATGATGAAGTAACATAATTTCCCATATTTCAAGCTGGATAGATGTTGATGCATGTGTAAGGGAACAAACAAATGAATTAAAGAGGATACATAGAGGGGAGTTGATTGCAACAATGAGAAAAAACAAGGTGATGTTGATGACAAAGGCACAGGGGTAAAAATAGGTTAAAACATCCAATTTTTTCTACTGGAGTTACAGCAAAGTTCCTTTCCAGACAATATAATTGTTCCCTTCTAAAATAATTACCAAAATTTTCTCTACTAGAAGGTACTACACGAGGAGAACTGCATTGATACAACCATCATTTTCAGGATTATTCGTCACCTGAGCATATTTACCTGGCATTCAACCATCCAATAAAATATTAAAATGAATCATCAGAATTTGAAGGGCAAAAGAATCCGGGAAGTGTAACATCATAGTAAAGCATCGCTTACCCCATACAACTTTCCCAGCAGGAGTGACAAGACCAAGTTCACTGACATTAACCTGGATTTTATAGCAAGACATTTAGGAATGCAAGCTAAACTAGATAAAAATGGGTGCAGTGTTGAAAAGGGAAGATTACCTCAATGATGGTACCCTTGGTTATAACACCTAGTGAAGTATACATTGGACCATTAGGATTCTTCTTCACCCCGATGATCTCAAGGTTGAATGTGCATTTAAGTTCAGGGTGTGTCACGTGGG